ACCAGGCCTTATTCTCCCCTCCATGAGCTGACATTGTATTTTTTTCTTATGTTTGAGCTCTTAAGATCTGCACAATAGCTTAACACAATAAGTGTTTAGCCTCTGGTTCCAACTGTAATTGATAGAGTACGGTTCCATTCCCTCTGCTGCTGCTAAGTTGGGAACTGCAGCCACAGCAACTGACAGCTTTTTTTTTTCCCCCGTGAGTCTGGAGTTGCTCTCTGGGAGTGATGTCCTCATCGGGACGTGGAGGGAAATGGGAATGGCTCACCCCGGCACCGGGCCGTGCAGGAGCTCCAGGGATCTCTTCTAGGGGAAACAGTTGCTGCAGGTGGGTGCTGCTGATGGGAGAGAAATGCAGGGGAGAAAGCTCTGGGAGGAAATAGCAAAATCCTGCAGCCTGAAGAAAACGGGCTTTTCGAGTAGAGAGCACAGAGGAGGGAGAGCATTTGCTGAACAGAATTTCTAACAATGAGCGTATTTGTAAAAGTGCTGTAAGATTCTGTCATTTACTGATGGAAACTCCTGTAAGTCCCAGTCTTTATACAGTGACAATACACTGTGCTTTGAGACGCGAGATTCAAGCTGAAATAAGGAAACAGCTGAATTGAACACGACTGCAAATTGTCCCATTCGGGCCTGAGTTCTGACATGGGAGAATCACACTGTGGGTTTGGGCTTAGCAGCCTGAGTCCAGACTTCAGTGCAGATGGCGACTAATTTTGGTGGCTCTTCACTTTCAAAAGTGCCTATTTTGGTACATATTTAATTAACCAAGTTTTAAAGCCTTCTCTTGTTTGTGAACACCTTGGCTTTTTTGTCATCTCTCAGCATGGCGATGTGCACAGTAACCGAAAGGTTCTGGGACATGAGCTATTTAGGTGGTTTTGATGCAGACTTGTTTTTCTGGAGGATGCTTGAACAAAGCACTGCTGCCATTTCTACAGTTTCATTCAGTGCTGCCTGCGTGGAAACTATTTCTATTCCCGTATAATAAAGGATACAGATAATGCCTGAAAAGCCACAACACTCTCAGTTATTAATACATGTACGTACTGCTTCCTTTCATCACAGAAATGCACACGGCAGACCTAGCTGGCCACCTGCTTTGCTCTCTAAAGAAGCAGAATTTCGCTTTCTAAATACGTTTCTGTTTTAAATAACCTTTACTACTGAAGTGCAGACTGCAGCTCCAACGTACTGACTGCTACCCATCTTCTGTTTGCCACTATCTGGGGACTTCTCCAAAACAAGACTGCCTTATTCTACTGCACCAATAAACAAAATGAATGCGGCTGCTATCTGTTCCTGCTGTACTTTTCAAGGGCTTTGGTTCCTAGATAGCCTATTGGAGCTGGGAGAGAAAGAAAAGAAGACGAAATTGCACTCAGAAAAGGCGTTAAGTCTGGATTCGTCTTTTAGGCTTTAAAAAAGCAAACTAGCAATTCATGATCACAAAATAAAATATGCACATTTAAACAGGCTGCAGGGGAAAGTAGAGTTTAATCCAGTGAAATTGTGTTTGAAAGCTATTTCATACCCCTAGGAATAAAATCTGAATAGCAATTTTGCTTTGCTCCCACCTTTTTTCCACCCTTCTGTTAATATATTACCATTTGTTATGGAATCGTTACAAGAGTTCTGCCCCAGAGGTGGCTGCGTTGTGCGGAAGGACGAAGCGCTTTCCGGGCCTGGGTCTCCTCGTACTCCCAGGGGCAGACAGCGCTCATCGCAGCCGCACTGATGCGAGCAAAGCTATTTCTGCTCTGTACCTGAGCGGGAGAAGAACTGGGCCCGCAATCTGCACAGCCCTTGTGAGTCGTTTGGAGGAAGGCGACAGCACAAACAGGTCCTTACTGTACACAGAAGTATGATACTAACGCAGCCACAGGCACAACGAGCTCCAAAAACCTGCTTTAAGAACTACTGAAATGGAGATGACGATAAAAAGAGGGACGGCTCAGAGCAGATTCGGCCCTGGAAAGATCAAAATGCATTCAACGTAATTCTGGCATTGCTGTGCGATGAGTTATCTCTAAAAGTATAATTTGAGATCAAAAATCCCCATCGTCAAACATAAATAGGGCCCCGTTTATCCAATTACGCTACCTTGTTTCATTACAATGCTCTGTAATATATTTCTTAGGAATACAAGGCTTAACATTAATAATAGAACAGGACAAAATTGCCACGTATATTTCTCTAGATAGATTTTCATCTAGCAGCAGGACTTCACTTCTGATTCACTCGCTGGTTCTCTCTAACCTTTACATTATTCATTAATCAAACTAGAAACCTGCTTTCAAAGTCAGTGCATGGTAGTAATTATTTACAGTTGTGCATAGTATTTAATTTTAAGCAATGACAAAAGCAGGCACGTCCAGAATCACAAGGCTTATCATTTTTCTTCCGGTGGAGGTGAACTATCTGAGGGAGCCAAAAGTTGCAAACTTCTCTTCAATATCTCTGCTGCCATCAAGACAAAATGCAGTGCAACTGATACATTTGAACTTGTACAAGAGAAAATAAATAGAGCGAAAATTAAGTAATATATAATGTATTAACTCCTCTAAATAAAAGGAATAAAGAGATTTGCTATCAGCCTTGATGAGAGATTCATTTCTTATTGCACAGTCTGTCTACTGTCACTTTGAGGTACTTCGCAATCTGCAAAACAGAACCTCAGTGCTATCCTGAAAATGAAAGTCAGTTTTAAGAACTACACACAAGAGGCATGTCTGCACTTTGGAAGCCCCCCCGCCCCCCCACAAACACATAAACACAACTTCAAAGCAGGAGAACTATTGCAAATGCACAAACCGACTTCAAATCAGTTATGCTGAATGAAACCGGACTGCTTTTGCAGCGCTTTGCTCACCTGAAACAACATTGCTCTGAGGACAAACAGAATCACAGGCATGCACTGTGGAAGACCAAGGCACGCTTCAAAATGGGAATAAAGACAGAGAGACACAGCTGTGGCCATGCGGATTTCTACCTCCTCACTATGGCTGGCAACATACTGTAATGTTCTGGATAGGAATATTTCTTGCTGTATTCTCAGCGGGGAAATCCTGGGAAACAACAGGATGGGCTTTGCTCACAAGAATTTACTTATTCTGCAGCCTATGTTTCTAAAAAAGAACAGGATGCCCCTGCTACAGGAAGATACTACACACATTGCAAGCGAAGATTCTACTTTGAAAATAAAATAAAACGAAGCCTCGTACTCCTGACAGAAAGAAAAAAGGAGCAATTCTAGCACTGTCACTGTGATGATCAGCATCCATGAAAAAATAGCTATTTATCCTGCAAGTTGAACACGTTAATGCCTTATTCAGATATAACCTCTTTGTGAATAAAACAATAATAGCAACTCGTCAGAGAGTTCTTCTGAATATATATATAAATACATATCTGTGCTGAGCTTGACTATCATTTATAATGGCAGGGATTGCTGCTTGCCAGGCTGGCAGCCTGCGTGGGTGCATCACTGCTCATGTCCCAAAGGCTCTCCCTGCATGCCATTGTCCTACACCCATGAGAATAGGGCAAAACACGTAAGTTCCTCCAAGTTGTGCACCTCCCAATTTCTCAAAATAACATTTGCCTCCAAATGTATCCCAAGCACTACTTTGCAAAGTTTATTCGAGCCACGAAAGTTGCCCATGCATTTTGTCCCATGGATAATACGACAACACGAAAATATTCAGAGTAGAAAAATTAATAGGCCTTTTTGAAAGTGCAAACATGAAATATTAGTTTTCTTTGGAGAACTAATCTGACAAAGGACCCACAGAAAAAAAAAAGGGGGAGAAAAACCCGCCTACATTAAAAGCCAAACAAGATAATAATTGTGCATGTCTGGCTAAGAGAATCTAGAGGGCAAGCCTTACGTCATTGGCACTTGGGTTACCATGGTGAGTGATTTATTGATATATATCAAGAATGAATAGATCAAAGGCAGCAAGATGACAGGTGATCAATCAAATGTCAAATCAAAGCTGGCAATCAACTGGAAAGCTGATTTTTCAGTGGGTGGGTCTGGCAGAAGAAAAATGAACTTCCATATTGCGCTTCCCAGAAACAAAACCCCATCAGACTATTAAAAAAAAATAAAAAGCAATTAAGCAGCCTGGAAGAGAACTCTTTGAAAAGATTTACTATACGGGCCCACTCATCTGCCTCTTTTTCTTGGCCCCCAAAAGAAAAAGAACATCCTACAAATGACAAAACAGAACGCTTCCAAAGTTGCGAACTATTTCCTCCCCTAAGATAAATAAATTAATAAAAAATCATTTAAAAAAAAAAAAAAAAGAAGAACGATCACAAAAGCACTTGGCGCGTGCAAATACACCAACTCAGATACAAAACAAAAGAAGAATTTGATTGGAAAATGCGGCTCGTCTTCTAGCAGTCACAACGCTTCGCTTTATTTCCTGTTGCAATTTTCACCACCGCTGATCAAAGGCTGAACTTCCCCGCCGGGTTCAGCGCCGCAGCCCCTGCGCCGTTTCAGGCACACGCAGCGCTCGGGCAGCGCCGCGCAGCCCCGCAACGGGAGCCTCAGCGCCCCGAGCCTCTCCGCCACGCGCGTTTGGGAAACAAAACCGCCGCGGGGTAAAGAACGACCGAAAATAAATAAATAAATAAAATAATCATAATAAGGAAATAAAGCCTGAAGCGGGGAGCAAAGTGGAGGCTGCTCCCGGGCGGGGAAAGGGGCCGGGGGAGAAGGGGAGAGAGCGGAGGAAAGTTGGGGGGAAGTTTGGCCGGGGCGGGCGCGGGGCGGCGGGAAGGGGTCGGGGCCGGAGAGCCGCGGGCAGGGCCGCGGGCACGGAGCGGCACGGGGAGTTCCGGGCACAGAGAGGGGGAGGGCGAGAAATAAACCCGGCTCCGGGCCGGGAAGGCGAGGGTGACCCTCGGTAATAATAAAGATGGGGGGAAGGATCGAGAGGAGCGGAGAGGCAGCGCTGTGTAAGGGGATGGCTTCTCCTTACCTGCAGCCCGTTTGGGTGCTTGCTGTTTCCTCCTTGGCATCGCTCTACTTTCTCCAATCTCACTTCTGTCCCCAGATCCGGGAGCTCTGAGCCGCTCCGGAGCCGTGTTCGTGCGCCTCAGCCGCGGCCCCGGCACCCTCAGCCCCGGCCCCCCCCGGCTGCGCTCACAGGAACCTGTTTGCCTTTATTTTATTTCAGAGATCTACGTTTCTTTCTCTCTCTCTCTCTCTCTCTCTCTTTTTTTTTTTTTTTTTGGCTTTTTTTTTTTTTTTTTTTTTTAACTGTTGCAACACTTGCTTTGCTTTGATTCGAACATCCAAGCTCAGGAGCAAATGAAAGGCGCCCACAGTACCAGAGAGCGAGAATAAATAAATAACAAAATAGATATGTATATATTAGAAAGGCGGCTCTGGGAATGCTGCGGGGCTGCCGGGCTGCTTCCTCCCTCTCCTCCCTCTCCTCCTCCTCCGCGCCGCGCGGATGGCGGAGCGCTGCCCGGCGGTGCGCGGCGTGTGCGTGCGCGCGGAGCGCTGCAGGTTCGGTGCTGTCAGATGCCAGGCAGTGAGTGATATGGGAGAGGACAGGGAGGCTTCGGAGGGAAGGAAATCTGCTGTTCGCACACACACGCGCGCACACACACACACACACACTCGCACACACGCACACACACACACACATACAGGCAGGGCGAGGCGATGCCAGCAAACATCGATCCGCTGAGCAAACTGCACATTAACAAACTCCTCCTCCGCGCCCTGATGACAGGAGGAAATTTACTCCGCGCAGTTTATTAAAGAGACAGCGCGCGCCGCCGCCGGGCCCGCAGCACCTGGGGCGCGCGGCGCTGACGCCCCCCCCGCCCCGCGCGCGCGCCCCCCCCTCCCACCAGCGCGCGCCCCCCTCGCCCCACGCGCGAGCCCCGGTGCCACGCGCGCCCCGCGCGGAGCCTCCTGGCGAGGGCGCTGCGGGGCGGCCCCGGGGCTGCTTTCCTCGCGCTCCCTCGCGGCCGTCCCGCGCTCAGTGCAAACTCGGGTGAAGTTGAGGTCGCTCCCCAGCCCCCCTCGGGGTCCGTTCGTACCGGACAACCCGCGGCATCGCGGCCGAGCGCAGGGTGGGAGTGCGGTGTCGCTGCTGTCCCAAGGCGCCCCGCACTCGCGCTGAGGAGGTGCGACCCCGCGCCGTGCCGCCGAACCGCCCTCATCCCGCGCGGAGCCCGGCGGGCGCACGGCAGGTGGGATCCCGCGCCGGCCTGGGGATCGCCGCCCCGTCCTTCTGTCTCCGCGGCCGCCGACAGCGCCTCGAGGTTTGAAAAGGGAGTGGGGTTCGATTCTGTGCCTTCCGTTCTCGTTGGTAAAGAATTTATTTCTTTTTTCAAAGTGGATTTTGCAAATATTCCACAGCCGAGCCCCAGAGTTTGTAACAGAACGGAGTTCCTTGGTGCTCTTGTTGCTTTCTCGCCATTTGTGTGTTTCTAATGGGATGAGTGGGAACCATCTGCATCCCGCTCAAACAGCGCGCCAGGCCCAGCTCTGCATCGCCGCCCTGTGCCCCACAGCTCCGCTGAGGAGGGGGTTTCCATGGAAGACCCCGCAGTGACCTTTCAGTTTGGCAGCCTGATAGGAGGCTGTGTGTGTGAAAGCATCCACGTAGGTGATTTCACTTAAATTATTTCATAGCCTTCCCCAACCGAACACTAGCAATTTTTATAAGCAATCTAAAAGTATTTATTGGTGCAAGCAGATGCTTAGTTTTGAAAGATAAAATAGGATAACGCTACCATAAAATACTCATTTTTGCTCTTCTGCCATGCATAACTCACTCCGAAGCGAGCAGCTCTGCTCGAAGCGCTCAGCACTGCTTGGCCCCCTCGCAGCCCCACGCTGTGAAATCCTACCAGTGTGCACCTGGGGTTCTGTGCTGCCCGCTCCAGCCGTGGAGCTCAGCAGGGCCAGCGCTGGGGCAGTGCTGCTGTGAGGCCAAGAGGGGACGGTGCCTGATGCCAGCGTGGCGCTGGGCCTGGAGCACAGTGACCAACCGGGATTTCCTTCTTGCATTTCACCCAGCCGGGTTTGTGATTCAGTGATTCCGTGTCTGTCTTGGTGCCCAGGTCAGAAGATTGAAGGTACATCCAGTGGGGGTTGCATTCTTTCTGTCTCCCTCTCTCCTCTGGTTGCGTGGAACAGTACTGCACCTCTGGTTGGGGTAGTTTGATTATTAGTAGGTAATTATGAGGAATTGTACATTACTGTGAGGAGCTGTGTATGAAAAGCCCTTGTAAGATGGTTTTATTGCCAGTGTGATGTGTTGAGATGCTGCCAGGCGTCATGGGGCGGGGGGATCGAGCTTATCTCTGGTGTGAACCTTTCCACCTGGGTCTGCTGCTCTGCACAGGGAGGACGGCCACGACCCACAGATGGAGCAGAGCCGGGCTCCAGTGCAGCCTGGGATCGGCAAGGAGCTGCTATTGTTCTCCCAGCCATGGCTGGAATCCAAATGCTCCACGCTGGGCATGGTATTTGTATCAGTGGCGTTTTCAGTCTCAACATGCAAGATGAGAAAGTCACTGTTTTAAATGGTTACTCCTTTGGGAAGGGGAAATTGAGAAGATGGACTTCTAGCAGAGCACTAGTGAGATGGCACCCTATCCACAGTGATAAATGGGAGCATTAACAAGGCTTGGTTGAGAGGAACCCTACAGATTTATGGCTTCCTGTCTCCACCAGCAGATGCCATTATGGCTGACAGAACAGAATGCCTTTCAAGAGGGAACTGGGATGGGATTATGAAGAAGGGGAAAAAAAAAGCCAGCAGAATCTGGTGTCCATTTTTATCCACTGGTCAGAATCTGCCGATAGCTTTGAATAGAGCTGAGACTGTACAGCAATTGTGCGCTCCCTCCTCCTGTTATTTATAACTACGTTGGTGAAGGTCATTTAGCATCTCTTTTAGCACAGGAAGAACCCATAATATTTACTGAAAGCATTTTTGCCCTCTTGAAAATTAGGGATGATAAAATGAAGTGATAGCACTGGAGGCTTCCTTGGCTTATCCAATGGAATAATCCCGATGGGTGTTTAATGTTTACTTTGGAAATGTAGCAAATGATTCTGAAGCTGTATTGAATTTTATCTATTTTTATTACATAGCAGAATAATATTTCCCTTTCCTGACAAAATGTTATGACCAGTAATAGCAATGGCAGTTATGCATGTTCAAAAAAGAGTAATCAAATCTCATGCTTCAGGGCACGAGCTGAGCTCCCCGCCGGGATCAGGACGATGTTCTCCCCCCCACCTTCACTGCTGTGCAGTCAGCTAGGTGCGTTTTCAGAGCATTTCCAATGTCTTGGTTAGGTGCAGGTTACATGGAACAGAAGCGTGGTCTGGGACAGTGCAAAATCTCCATCGCTGTGGCTCTGGGGTATTTCTGGTCTGATTTTTCAAAATAACGCATGTGATTTGGTGTGCATTACAGGAAAGTTTGCAGGCATTTCCACTTGCAATAGAGGGTCAAATGTGATGTGTGTATTTGATTTCCCATCGTGAGCAGTCACAGAGACCTCAGCTGTTCACCTCAAGTCTCTCATCTTACCCTGTGTTGCCTGTCCTTCTATAGCTGCAATGCTGGTAATTAAATGTGGTTCATTTTCCTGGAATTCACTGATATGTAGGTACAGCATTCATCTGGAATGGCATTTACCTTGGATCTTACGGCCTCCTCCACTCTTACTACTTGAGATAAACAGAGAAAGGGTAAATAAACAAATAAAGATAGGTAATTCTGGCAAGTTCTGCCAAGAAAGAATCATCGACAACTTCAATATTTACTTCCTTCTTCTTGAAAACTACTCTCCTTAAATAAATAGATAGATAGGCAGATAGATAGATAGGTAGGTAGATAGATAGACAGATAAATAGGGGAGTGTGGTTTTGCAAGGATGCTCAGAGAACCAAGCTTGGCAGGCAGACTGGCGCTGCCTTGCAGGACGCAGAGTGCTGTGGTCATTTTTCTGTGCAGGCCGTGCCCAGCGGTGGGGCTGGCTGTGCTCCGTTCCCTCTGAGGCACTTCCACAGTGCACATTTAACCATCCTTCTGGGCACTCCGTTGTCATGCCCTTACTGTTTGAAATTTCTCTTAGTGATGAATGCATTTTGGAAATATATTTGTTCCTTTTTTTTTTTTCTTCAGTGCTCATGAATGAAATAGAGAACAGTGTATTTCCTTCCTCTTTTCAGCAATTTCTGCTGTATTTGACAACTTATTACATCTACCCACTGGTAACCCCGACTTCTCCCTTCATTCTGTGTAGGTCGTGGCTTCTGGACCTGGCACTGCTTTCATTGTTCTGTGGCTGGACAGCATATGTTTGGGAGCGCAGCACCAAAAACTGGATGCTTTATTGTGTCTGAAATCTTCCCAGCACCAAGTGGGATTACTTCACATGTCTAACATATGACACTCCTGTTTATACGTCCCAGTTTGACATCTGCCCTTTTTGCAACAGCATGACACTGTTGACTCATGTACTGCTTCTGATTCACTGTAACCCCAGATGCTTTCTTGCAGAAATGCTTTGTAATCAGTTGTCCCCATCCTATATTTGAACAGCTGATTATGCATCAGTGACAACTTTGCACTGATTCATCTTGAATTGCATCCTATTTTTTCAGACTATTTCTGCAATTTGTCAGGATCATTCTGTATTACAATGCTGTCTTCAAAGGCTGTTGCCATTCCCCCTAGCAAGGTACCATCTGCAGATATCATGCAAAACATTCTCCGTTCCACCTTCTTAGAAGAACAGTAATAAAGATATTGAATACTGTTGGGCCCAGAATCCCCTCCAGACATTATTCTATGCCCACAGTGTAGGTGGTACCTCATGTAGGTGTAGTTTTGGAGGTCTTTCCCAGGCCGTAAAGTAATGTCACCTGAAGATGTTCCTCAACTCACTTGTGAGTCTGTTAGATGAGATGGTGGCAGAAGCTTATGGAAGTCAAGATAGATGACTTCTCTATCTGCATGGTCTGTCATGCTGTCATGGAATAAGTTTTGACATAATGTAACCTGAATAAATCCATGGTGGCCATCTCCAAGAGCCTCATGCTAGGTCCTCAGGTGTTTCTGCACGAACAGATGATCAGATGATGCAACTCCTGCCCTCCCATCTCAGACAGGCACCGTTTGCAAGGTT